TTAACATCCCAAATCCACGAAACAAAAGAAAATATGAGGCAAATATACATAGAAATATATATACTTTAAGCTAAACATCAGACCCCAAATAAAACTCTTAAATATTTTACTCAGCCCATTAATACCAACTGAATTAGTTTTTGCATGGGGCGCCCTATTTGGTCCCCCTTTTTAACCTGTAGCCGCTTTGTTTTTCTGTTTGCATTTGTACTCATTTTTTTTTGTTAAAAGCCTTTTAAAAAGATTATGCCCTTCTTTATTAAAAGACTTTCTCTACAAGTATACGCCAATCTACTGTCTCTGTCTCTCTCTCTCTTGTTCTTCGTATTTTTTATTTTTTCTTCTCTGAAATCAAAACGGTTTTCCGTCATTCTTCTTGATTTTTTAACTGTTTGTTCCCCAATAACATTATGTATAATCACAGTACATTGCATTAACTTTCTGGGTTCTATTTTAGTATTATTTTTTATGATTTAATTTCGGGTTTTTTTGTTGATAGTCATGTTAGTTGAATCGTTTCCCTTTTTTAATTTATGAATAAAATAGTTTCCTAGGGTTTTACTTTGATTAATGCATTAGTTTTCTAGGTTTACTTTTACGATTGTGTTTTTAGGTTTTTGAACGTGTGTTTGTGTTTTTTATGAAAATTCTTAGCAAATAAACCCAAAAATTCAGCATGTTATGCAGGACAAAACTTCAGCATATTTAAATTTTTAGCTATGACGTTAATTAGGTTTAACGTGAAAGATCTTCTGCTTGACTTTAGAATTCAACGTGAAACAAATTAGAATGCAACTTCATCCATCAGCGAAATCTATCAGTAAAAAGTTCATGTTTCATCCGTCAAACAACTTCATGCAAGTGTGAATTACGAAAATAATTATAGAAACATATATCATGAAGATCAATCAGTTTCAAAAAACTAATTTGAATTCTGAAGATGAATTGCAATACTTACAATGTATTTTATAATTTTGAATTTGGAGTTTGAATCTAGTTCAAATTCTGGTTTGGCGAGAGGAGATATGAGAGAGACGGAGTGATGGAGGAGAACTGTAAAGTGATTTATGCGTGATGCATCTTTTATATGTTATGTCATGGGTATAATGGTCATATTATTACGAATTTTTTCTCAGCTGGCTACCAAATCAATAATTTTTAAAAATAGGGTACAGGTTAAAAAGGTGGCACAAAATATAGGGTATGGCTTTCAAATAGCCCAGATTAGTTTACATTCACCACTTCTAGCCCATAGGCCCATAGGAAGTCAGCTTGCTTACAACATAATTCCTCATGAAAAAAGAAAAGGAATTTTTACACCCTATAGAAAAGCTTAATACTCTATTTATTTTAAATAAATACCATTTTAAAAAAATTTATTATATAAGCTACCTTTTACCCTTTAAAGCAAAATATCTAATTATGGTTACATCATACCCTTAAGCCACCATATACGCTAATTATTATTTTTCTCTCTCCCTTTTCAGATTTTCTCTCACATAATCATGGTAAAATTCACAAACCACGTTCTCTCTCTCTCTCTCTCTCTCTCTCTCTCTCTCTCTCTCTCTTCTCTCTCTCTCTCTCTCTCATTTGATACACTTTACTCTCTTCTCCCACAAAACCACGATTCAGACTTCTTCCCCCACCCACATTGCCTAGGTCTCCCCCATTCTCACTCCCCAGTTAGTTTCTCTCTCTAAAATCTCGGTTTTATTTGATGATACAAGTTCTTGTGGTAAGTTATTTAGCTTCTTAGATTTTGAATACAAGTATTTAGCTTCTTAGATTTGGATACAGATTTTTGTTTGGTTCTTAAACAATAACCATTGTTATTGTTTACTCAACAGAAAGCTATCGTTTTTCTCTCCAATGTCGGATTCAACGTCCACCAGATGGTAACCAGAGTATACCCACCAAAATACTCAATTTTGATGGGCCTCTTTTTCTCCTTGCAAATAACTCAAGCGGAGTCGGAATTTGTAGGTGTATCAGCAAACTACAGCTTCAGAGAAAGGAACTAAATTACACAATGACAAAACAAAAGAAGTTCAAGTTGAGAAATCTTCAACAGAAACAAAAATTCCAGTTGCGGAAAAGAGGAAACAACCTATGAATGATGCTTCATGTGTCAAGGTTAAGGAAGTTGATGCAAAAAAAAAAATGCTCGAATACACGGCACGAAAAGGTAATTGTTTATTGTATCAATATGTATTCAAAGTTGTTGATGTGATTTATGTGTACATTGATGTATCATAATTATTGATGTGATTTATATGATGTAATTGGTATGTATATTAGATGTATTCATAAGTATTCAAACAATCCATAACTCATTTTCACATTTACAATTGTCAATTCACTGCAGTTGTGCTTACTTAGTCTATTGTATGTTGTATTTAGATGTATTCAAATTTACATTCACTGATTTCCGTATCTTTTTAACAGTGTTCCTTGCATATTGTAATTAGATATTCACTGTTTTGTACCTCAAATGGTCTGAATTTGATTTTCTTATGTTGATGTATTTATATATATATATACATCTACTTCCAACATGTATTCTACTCCAATGTATTTTTTCATATTGTATCTGTTTGTATTTATATGTATTCATAACACTTAATGAGTTTATGTATTGATGCTGAATATGAAAACCTTTTTTTAAATTTTGTTTGTTATGCAGGAAATTAAACTATTTGTGAAACAACCGCCAAGATTATCACTGCATATTTGTTCATATACAAACACAAACATAGTATCAGATTCTCAAAGAAAAGCTTACTCCAGAACAGTATAAACTTATTGAGTTCTACTTTGTTTTTGGAAGTCTCCTTGATATGGATCAGTGTGAGGTACATCATCAGCTGTTCAGGTGCTTCATGGTTTTGTAGTTAGAAAAGAAGTACTGATGACGTATTTTCCAATACCACGTCAATGGGTACAACAATTTCCTTCTCATCAGGGAGTTTGCACTCGTCACTGGTCTCAAATGTGCTGGTGACCCACATGATATTTAAGTTCAACACAGAGGTGCCCAACAGTATTGTTCAGACATGCTTTGGCAGTGCAAAGCTGGTAAAAGGAAGTCTTTAAATTGT